GCTGCTTGCACTCCATGTCTGCTTACACTCCATGTCTGCTTACACTCCATGTCTGCTTACACTCCATGTCTGCTTACACTCCATGTCTGCTCAGTCTTATCCCATTCTTGCTTCTGACTTCTTCCACCTCTCTCAATTTCCGTCCACCATCCAGCCATTTTCTCCCTCCATTCCATCTCTCCAGATTTCAACGTACGATCAAGGCAAGGAGGACCGCATAGCCTGGGGGTTACATGAAGGAAGGCCTTGGCGCGCACTCTGTAGCTCTCCTTGCTCCTTTCCAGCTCTCCCTGTTCCTCCCCCTCTCACAACTTTCTTCCAACTCTCTCCCTCTCCCTCCGCCCTTACCTCACCAGCTTGCAACATACAATCAAGCCAAAGAGACCCTTATAGCACGCGGTTACATGAAGGAGGGGCTCGGCGCACACACAGTGGCAGCATTCACAGCTGCCATCTTTCCCAACTCCCTCCCTCTGCCCAATCTCACCAGCTTGCGACATACGATCAAGCCAAGGAGAGTCTCATCACGGGAGGTTACATGAAGGAGGGTCTTGGCGCGCACACAGTGGCAGCATTCACAGCAGCCATCTTTGCATCGCTAGCCTCGAACCCCTTTGACGTGGTGAAGACTCGCCTCATGAACATGCGCAAGCCGGAAGGGGGAGGGCCGGCACCGTACTCGAGCCCCTTGGATTGCGCCATGAAGACAATCAAACTCGAAGGCCCGCTTGCACTATATAAGGTACAGTGATGATGCAATAACGGGGATAGAAGGCACCTGGTCCGTTGGTGATTTCAGGAACCACAATGAGGAGGAGAGCCGTACCGTACTCGTGTCAGCAAGCTCGAAGGCCTGCGCGCTGTGTGTAAGGTTGGCTGATGGCGCAAGTTGTGCTGCTGATACCAATTCATGGTATCGCTTGTAAGCAGCACTTGCATTGCTGCCATGTCATGGTCGGAATGCCCTACCAGGGATGGGTGATGATGACCTTCCTGATGGCATGCATTGCAGGGCTGTTGCCTTGCGAGATTGCAGGGGTTCTATCGTTGCATTATTTTCCCTCATTCCCTGCCGCTTGTTCCCCCTCGCCCTCTGAACTGCTTGCTTGTGCTCTCCCTTTCAGGGCCTCATTCCAACCATTGTCCGGCAAGGCCCTTTCTCGCTCATCCTCTTTGTCACACTAGAGCAAATGAAGAAGATCATGGAAGACATTTAGTGTGGAGACACAGTGAGCACCATACGTAAATCCAAACTTTCAATCACTTCGTACACTAAATGTATAGGATGGACACTTGCCACAGTCGTGTCAAATCGAGAACAAAAGTATTTCCTTCAAGTGAGCTGTTCTTTACTGTTTGGGGCGATGCGAATAGTTACACATGCCACATATGCGATTTGAGCTTGCACCAAGTATGGACACACGGGAAAAGGATGCGTCTGGATAATGAGTTAAATGTTTTTAGTTTTTCTGTTTCTGTTCTCTGTACAGATGTATTACACTTGCATGAATACATCGTCAGCTGTTGCTGAACAATGAGTTCAATGTAGTGTTTGGCTTGTTACGTGGGGATGGATCCATCCTGCGCCAGCCGCATCTTCCTATAGCGACAAAGTTGTGCACACCAGATTCCGTCACCCCAACCACAAACGGAGGTGACGTCATCTCAATTTCCCCAGCCACGTCACCCTCCACGTTTGGGGGTATGTGATGAGCTGTCGACATGCCTCCAAGCCAAAGCAAGCCAGCATAGCATTCGCTCCTCGATTCACGGTCGAAGAGACAAGAAGCAGGGTGGTCGGGGCAGGAATGGCGGCGCGTAAACCAATTCTTCTCGCAGCTACCGAGGCGCGCGAGCTGCGGCTGAGGGAAATTCAATTTAGGTGGAGCCCCAAAGAAATCTTCGTTGGGCGAATGAATGGTGGCAGGGCCTCCAGGGTCAGGGGGGTCAGGGAAAATCACGGCAACACCTTATCTCGGGGTTGGGCAAACATGCTGACTGCCGGATTTGGGTCTTCGATGGGCTTGGATATCGGGTAACCACAGCATTGCTTCCATTTGCACATCTTACACGTGTACACATTCACGTGGATGACGTGTATTCCGCGAACTAAGAAATGGGAGCAGTTCCAACCACATATCTATCCAGTTCCAACCACATATCTATCCAAACCACATGCTTGATTCTAAGAAGAGAACACATCACTCGTCGGACGCGGCTCCCAGGTCTGTCGGTCAGCCTTCTTGAAGCTGCCATGCCAGCCACCCGTCAACTCGTATCCTGCATCCATTTGCTGCCATTTGTTCGTTCTGCTCCGCCCACAGGTCGCCCGACCACGATCACTTGCCTGATGATTGCAGTACACGTGGCGTGCTTCTCTTGGTGCGTGCCCGATCGAGCAGATAGCAATCAGCTTGTTCAAGAAGCAACAGAAACCACAAGCGGGAAAGAACATTCCTGCGGCGCGGCCCTCGAGCCGAGCAGCGTTTGCACATATCTTGGGTTCTAATTTCTAAACCAGAGACATTTCGTCCCCCATGGTTCAGCAGAAGAAGCAACTTCCAGTACTTCGCGTAATTTTTGCACCATGTTTTTCCATGACGCGACAAAGGCTCCAAACGGTGGAGCAGCCACGAAATAAATCGAGGCGCAGGATGCCTGCCCATCACGCAAGTCGTGGTAAATATTGAGAGAGAGCAATGCTTCTAGTACTGCGCCTAGAACTTCGAATCCGTGAACCGTAATGAACAGTTTTTCCATACAGGTTGTCGGTCTGTGGTCGTGGATGCATGTCACTTGCCACCACAAGTCAATTCTCGGACGAGTCGTCTTTTCTAAGTAGATTCAGTTTAGTAGATTACCTACCTTCTATCGTCACCTTCCTTATATTTTCATCAGGTCATTATCTAAAACTAACGCATGTGATCTTCCTCGTGACCCGTTTCACTCTCCCTTAGATTGGTGAATGAACCACCCGACTCTAATACTCCTTAAAATTCTCGGTATAAGCACTCACTGACATAGCAAGCTAGGCCATGGATGTCCACAGTGCGCAGTGGCTCACAGCTCAGGCTTTCTCAGATTACCCTCCCCAGTCGCACGCGATGCCGCCGCTACCGCTCCTCTTCACTTCAACCACTTGCGCCCTCTGCCCCTCCCCCGCCGCCGTGCATTGCGCCGCGGACGGCGCACACCTGTGCGTCGCGTGCGACCAAGCAGTCCACGTGGCGAACGCTCTCGTCATGAAACACCTGCGCGCGCTTCTCTGCTGCTCCTGCAATCAACCCACGCATGTGCAGTTCCTCGGATTTCCTACCGCTCTCACGCTCCCCTTAGTTTTATGCCATGGCTGCCGTTCCACGGGGTTTGCCGTTGCTGGTCTTCAAACCCACGTGACGGTAGGATCTGCAGCAGCTGACGTGTCGCTTAGCCACGTGGCAGGTGCGCGTTTCCTCGGCGTTTGCCATGCTGGATTCTGTCCTGCCGAGCTGGTTGGGGATGGTCGAGGATGGAGTGTAGTGGCTCGGAATTCTCATGAATATAATAGCCAACTGGGTCTCGGGATGCATCGTATCGAATCACACTGCAGCGGGGATAGCGGCGGGCCTGACGGCGCGTCCCCCGCGAGTGGAGTCACCACGGAGTGTTGCGAACCTCTGGGTGTTGCCAGTGGTAACAGTCACGACATGCAGTCGATGTTTCGCGAGCAACTTTCGCAGCTGCAGCGGTCAACCATTCTGCATCAGCCCGTGATCCATTTCACCAGTCAGAAACATCAGAGCCGTCCGCATCCACAGCATCAGCCGGAAACTCAATCTGAGCCGTTGCAACAGGAAGGGGCAACGGTTCTGCAGCTCTTTCCACAGATCCCGGAAGTCGCGGGGCTTCGCGGAAACGGAACGTCAGAGGAACCACGTGTCGCCGACGCGGCCCAAGAACCGTCACTTAAACGTAGACGGACGGATAACGGATCTGAGTGTTGCGTTACGCGCGGCGAAGCCGCTGAGGCCGCGAATGTGAACGTACACGGGGCAGCTACAACGGGGGCTGATACTAACGCAACATCTCTGCGTGGCGACCGAAAAAGGTCGCTGCCTGAATTGCAGCAGCAGCAGCCGTCGCAGCCACGTCAGCTGCAACAAGCGCCCACGTCAGACGGCCCTGCTCTCGGCCAAACCGCCGCGGCTCGACTGAAACGGGTGCTTCATTCATGGTGCACGCGGCTCCATCTCGCTTCTAGCAGCGCGGGAGCGTTGGCCTTCCACATGCTTCAGCGCATCTTGCGGAAGCTTCGGCCGACTGACGTGGCAGCGGACGCGCTCCGGGTGGTGCTTGCCACGTGTCTGTGGGTGGCGATTAAGGGTCAGGAGAGCCAAGACGCGGTGCCGCGAGCAAGCCAGCTGGCGGCTGTAGCACGAATCACGGCGGATTCGCTGGTGGGGATGGAGATTCAGGTGCTGAAATTGCTGGACTGGCGACCACTAGAAGGCTTCCACGTGGATGGAGGAGTGGAGTAAATGGGGTTAGAAGTGTATCAACAAGCAGAGAACCGATTTGACGCATCCAGAAGATTTTGAGTACCATTGTAAACTGGAGATGGGGGAAACGACATGGTACATGACACATCTGTGACCATCATCTCTCTGACTGATACTGCGGTGTTGCTGTGAAGGCCTCCCCTCTTCTCTGTGCCGCTTGATTCCGGTTTGACTGCCAACCACCCAAGGCAGGCAGTACAATTTTGGTGCCCTAGGCAGCTAGCTTAGTACCATGTCAGAAGATGCTTTGGATGATGTTATACCCATTTAATATAGCATCAATCTTACTCCTCCCTTTATACCGTACCTCTTAGGCATACCACTGAGTACAATACTGAAACCACATGAGAAACGCTTCAAAACAGTTGCCCCCCTATCCTGACATTGTCCAGTAGAACCTGCTCTCTCTCCCCTGGCAGCAGAACAAGGAACCCCCTTATCCCCTTCTCCTGACATCTGCTGTCAAACAATCAACACCTCCTGACACGCACGTCCAACTGGACCTGCTCTCTCTCCCCCGGCAGCAGAACAGAGCGAGGGAACCTCAGCGGCACTTCAAAATCACCGATGGAGGAGAGAGGCGCAGACAGAGGCACGTTTGCTTCGGATAGATGGATGCCGAACTGACGCCGAATCTCGCTGATGATGTGGCGCTGCGTGATTGGTTCCCGCAGCTCGGAGGATCTCTTGGGTGTGACGGCTCGGATGGACTGCGAGGGTTGGTTGGGGAAGCGAGTGAGAGGGAAGGGAATGAGATGGAAGGGAGTGAGAGGGGAGAGAGCAAGATGAGAGAGAGTGGGAGGGAAGAGAGTGAGAGGGAAGAGAGCGAGAGGGAAGAGGGGGTGAGAGGGAAGAGGGAGTGAGAGGGAAGAGGGAGTGAGAGGGAACAGAAAGGGAGATGAGAGAATGCAAGGGGAAAAGGCTGTGGCTGAGAGAAGGAGAGCTGCGAGGGTGAAAGTAAGAAGCGAGAGAAGTTGCTGACGAGAGCCATAATTCGAGAGAGGGAGGAGAGAGGAGACAGAGGAGAGAGTGGGGAGAGAAGAGAAAGGGTGAGGAGAAAAAGAAGGGAGAGGATAGGAGCGGAGTGGGGGAGGGATAACGGACCAATCGTTGGCTGTCGAGTCGTCTTGCAATCTCCTCAGCCTCCTTCACCCTCTCCTCCATCGTAACCACCTCAATCCCCTCCTCGCCCCCTCTTCCCTCTTCCCCCCCCCCTCCCCGCGCCTTTTCACGCGCTTCCGCCAGGTCCTCCCCCCGCGCCTCCCCCCGCGCCGCCTCCCCCCGTTCCCCCTGCGCCTGTCCCCCCGCCTCCCCCTGCGCCTCCATGGCCAGGCGCACCTGGCGCAGGAACTTGGGGATGGCGGGCAGGGCGGCCTTCTGAGGGATGAGCTTGTTGCGGGCGAAGCCAGCAGGCACGTTCACTTGATCGCCCGCGAATCCGAGCCCTTCCACCTCCTGATGCGCGGAGGGGGAAACGAGGAAGGGAGAACAGAGGAAGGGGGATGAACGGTGGTGGGGAAACACGGAGAGGCCGACCTTGTGCCCAACCTTGACCTTACCGCCCTGGGAAGACGAATTTTGAGGCGCCTAAAAAATCGGAAACATGGGGAGGCCGACCTTGTGCCCAACCTAGTGCCGATCTTACCGCCCTGGGATGACGTTGAGGATTCAACAGGTCTCCATCTGACCGGTCTGCGCGGAACTTACCGCTGTCAGCACGACGCGCAGTTTCGGGCGAGTGCGCACCCCGCGCGCAAACGAGAGGCGGAAGGCTGACGCGGAGGGGGGAGAGGCGGCGCTTTGCGCGGATTGCCGCATAAATGCGGCGCTGGTGCTGACAGCATCGGGGGAGGGCTGAACGGCGAACCGCGCCTGAAAAGGGTTGCGGGAGGAGCGGGAGGAGAGGGAATAGCGGGAGTAGCGGGAAGTGCGGGAGTTAGTTAAATCGGCGCGACAGTGCCAAGGTGTGCGATCGCTCCCTGTGACCCCTCATCTGGCATGGTTACGAACCAAAGAGGACGCGACACGCGAAGCCGCCGAGATCGCTTCCCTGTGACCCCTCATCTCGTCGCTCGTCGCGTGGCGAGAATGCGACTAGCGAATTGCGGCAAAAATGAAAGGACACTCGCGTGGTGAAAATATGGTCGACCTGCGGCAGCGTCGGTCTGGAGCATTAAGGAACACTGGAAAATGAAACGCGAGGCGGGGGCGAGGTGGCGGGAATCTTGAGGCGGAGGGAAGAGGATGTGGAGCTGGGAGATCGGGACAGAAAAATAGTGCATATGCTGCTTACTTTGATCCTCGCTACCGTCAGATGCGTTTGCCTATAGCTTGCTAGCTAGGTCTAGTAGGGAATTTGTGCAACCGAACTGCACACGGAGGGTGGAATGATTACAGATGCCTGAAGATTACCTGGGTAGTTCGCCTAAAGATAAAAAACCCGTATTTAACAAAGTGGCAGCGTTCTCCTGCAAAGCTAAAATATTGCATTTTTGTGTACAATCTTATTTATGCTGGGCTGGAGGGGTACTTTTTACACCTCTGACGAAACTTTCAGGCAAACATTCCTTTTAGCCGATCATTGGCTGATGAATTGATGAGTCCCGTTGGCTGGTTTTCCCTCGATTTCTCCGATTCGACGGTTCCCAGGGAAGGGGCCAGGAGTCAAGATTCTAGAATCTAGAACGGCCTGGAGTCGGGAATCGCTTCTTTTCCTTGAATTAAAATAGATCATGCGTTGTGACCGTTATAGCATCCTGATTAGTTAGGGTTCCTGGTCTTGAGAAGGCGGCTTGACATTCAAGCCTTCGAGGACGTTTTTTTTTTTTTCCCGGGGGCTGATAACACCTCCCGGTACCTAGAACGCCATCTGATTGGCTACATCGTGTGTAATTCGTGCCAGACATTGCCTGGGGTCTCTAGCTCCGTTCCTGCTTCTGCTGTCACTTAGAAGCTTCGTCTTCTCGACGGCCAGCGTCGAAGTCGGAACCCGATTTGCAACAGGCATCGCTCGTCGACCGGATTTTCAGTTCCTTAAAGCGCCACGATTATAGATATCGGATGGCCCTTTATCGAGACGCCACGCAGCAAAGATGGTACGCGATTCCTTACTAAAAGTTAACATGTATTGCTACTTGTGCCTGACGATTGCGACTGACTGCGAACAACTGTTGGCCAGCGACTGTTGGCTCCTCGTCTGCCGGTCTCCCCCTCACCTCCAGGCTCCACCCCCTTCCCCCCCCTTTCCTCCCCCACCAGGAAGGGCAGCGAGAGCCCTCTGTTCGGCCCCACAGCGGCGGAGCTCCCGAGTTATCAGCGCGACGTGGAGGACCTGCTGGTGGAAACCACCGCCTCGCCTTGCCCCTCCGCGCACCGCTCCAGCAAACTGCTGCTGTGAGTGACGCGCCTTCCGTCTCTCTTGCTCCCTGCTTCTGTTTTGAGTCGAGTTAAACCACACCTGGTGGAAACCACCGCCTCGCCCTGTACCTCCGCGCACCGCTCCAGCAAACTGCTGCTGTGAATGACGCTTCCCTCCCTCTCGTTTTCCGCTTCTCCTTTGAGCCAGCCTTTAAACCACACCAGACCAGACCAGACCAGACCAGACCACGCCACACCACGCCAGACCTGGTGGTAACCACCGCCTCACCCTGCCCCTCCGCCATCCGCTGCAGCAAGGTGCTGCTGTGAGCAACGATGGCGATGCCGCTCCCCTCCTCTCGCTCCCTGCGTGTGTTTTGAGCCGACACTTAGAAGTTAGAACCACGCCATTCCACTCCAGACCACGCCAGACCTGGTGGTAACCACCGCCTCGCGCTGCCCCTCCTCCCATCGCTGCAGCAAACTGAATTCGTGAGCCACACGCCGTCCCTTTTGTGTTTGTTGCTCTTATTCCCCTTCTGGTCTGCCTGTTGCTCCTTTTCTCGTCCTGCTCTGCCTGTGCTTGCCTTCAGGAACGAGATTTTGGACATCTCAGCACCTCTGAACGAAGCAGCTGGTGCCATAGTCGATGTGAGTATGAGTGAAAAGCAGTTTTGAGGCGCCTCAAAACTGAGAAGCAGCATTAGATTGCCTTATTGGGGCAGACAGCTCAAAAGGCATCAGGAACGAGATTTTAGAAAAAAAATCACCTCTGAACGAAGCAGCAGGGGCCATAGTCGATGTGAGTGCAAGAAGAAAAATCAGAAGTTACGTGCTGTAACGGGTGGTGAGTTTGACGGTAGGTTAGGACACTATATCCGATGAAGCTTTTTTTCTAATCCTTTAGGCTCAGCAGTCATCTCAGCGCCTTTTTCCCACCCCCTCAATCCCGTTCCCCCTGGATTCAGGACTCCCTCTGGCTACTTCAAGTCCAACGAGCCTGAGCCGTGGAACCGGAACCTTTACCTCTTCCCACCATCGTCTCTCCTCCTCTCCTCCGTCCCTCCCCCCTAACTTCCCTATTACCCTCCTTGCAGGACTCCTTTTGGCGCTGCTTCAAGTCCAACGAGCCTGAGCCATGGAATTGGAACCTCTACCTCTTCCCCCTCTGGTGCTTTGGCGTGCTCTTCCGCTATGCCATCCTCTTCCCCATCCGGTGAGATCACTGTGCTTTCCCATTTGGTGAGGCCACTATGATTTCTGATTTCCTTCATTCCATCCTCACCCCATCTCATCTCCACGTACCGTTAACACACATCTCCCCTTTCCGCATGCCAGGCTGGTGCTGCTGCTGGTGCTGCTGCTGGGGTGGGTCATCTTCCTCTTGCTCTTCATCCCCATCCACTTCATCTCACCCTCATCCCCTCCTATGCATGCATGTCCCTTTACCCCACCCCCCATTCCACTTTCCAGGCTGGTGCTGCTGCTGCTGGGGTGGGTCATATTCCTCTCGCTCTTCATCCCCATCCACTTCATCTTTGCCGGATACGACAAGCTACGCCGCAGCCTAGAGGTAATGCTTCACGCATGTTGTGCGTGCGTGCGCGTGTGTGTGTGTGTTTGTGTGTGTGTGTGTGTGTGCATGCGTGCGTGTGTGTGCGTGCGTGCGTGTGTGTGTGTTTGTGTGTGTGTGATTTCACTCCTCCACCCTTTCTCCTACGTTGCTAAATACGAGTACCGAGTATAATACGTTAGCGTATTATACGCTTGGTATATACGCGGTACGCCAAGGCTGGCGTACTGCTGATACGCAAAAATACGCTGGCGGGCAGCTAAAACTTTTTTTCCCGGGCAGGTATACAAAAACCTGTTTCAGGGGGGGGGTTCAGGCCGACAACAACACATGTCAATATTTTATTTCATAAATATCCAGAAATACATAGTTCATCCACATAATCCCCACCCTCTAGCGAGCTTCCCCACAGCCTATTTCCTTGCGGGGCTTTTCCACCACCACCCCTTCCCCATACTCATCCGCCAGCACTGCATCATCTCCTTCCCCCCCCAGCAGGTCATCCTCCTCCTCCTCGTCCATGTTGTAGCCGCGGGGGATAGGGGCATCCGGGATGTTCCCGGGCACAACCGTGCTGGCCCCATCCTTGTTGTACCAATTGCGCACAACGTTCCAGTTGTGCGCAATGTAAACCAGGTCCGCACACTTGGCGGACCCGAGGCGGTTGCGGCGGGCGGTGTGGACGCCTTCCCACTGCGCCCAGCCACGTTCGCATGAAGAAGCCGAGACGGGCTGAGTGAGAATCCGGCATGCGAGGGTGGCAAGCTCAGGGTACTCGGTGCTGTGCCACGACCACCACTGCACCATGCTCATCTCCCCTTTCTTCACTGCCTCCCTTGCAGCTATGGCGCTCAGCTTGCCAAAACTGCCCTCCAAGTTGATGTAGGCCAGCAATGCCTCCTGCAGCACAAGGGAGGCGCGGCGAGGGGCACCATCCTTGCCGCGCCTGAAGGTGACGTGGTCATAGTGGCGCTCGATGTAGTCCTTGAACACCCTCGTGCACTCCACATCGTTCCTGAAAATTCCCTCCTCCTGGTTGGCCGGATTCAAGATCCGGCCAACCACATGCATGGGGCAGGCAAGGGAGTTGTCCCACCTGTCCTTCACAATCTTGGTGATGTCTGCCCTCTCTGTCCGAGTCAAGAAGTCGCCTGAAGTGTCGAGCTTGTCATTGATGTCCTCGGTAAGCTGTAGCATAATGTCATACAGCTTACCCATCATGCCTTTCGCGGAAGAGTCCGTGGCCCGCATGGCCTTGAATGGCACCGCCATGAGAGAGGAAAAGAACTCCGCCACCCCCCACCACTCCTCATCCATCACAGCAGCCCTGAATTTCTCGGCTGCAGTCTTCCTATCCTTGTCCCCCGCTGCCCACACCTTCCACTCGTCGCTGAGCACCATCGCCGCCAGCCCACTCCTCACCTCACATAGCCGGGCCATGGCTATGTATTGTGTCCCGAACCTGGTTCCCGCAGGCTTGAGCACCTGCTTCCCCCCCACTTTCTTCATATAGGCACGGGTGAAGTGGTGGTTGCGCACGAAGGTAATCATCTCCCCTCCTTTCTCCACAAGCCCCTTCGCCCATCCCATTTTGCCCACATCTTCCATTAACAGGTCCAGGACATGCGTGGCACATGGCACATGCTCAATGTGCGGCCATGTGCCCGCAATCTTCCGCGCTGCCGATGCATAGTTGCTGCCGCCATCGGTGCAGACCGCCACCACATTCTCCGGCCCCACCTTATCAATGACGGGGCGGAGAAGGCTGGCGATGTACCCCCCCGTCTTCGACTCCATGTTGCAGTCCACGGCCTGCTCGAAAACTACGCCGGAGTCGTTGACAAGGAGTATGTTGGCCTGCGGGCGGCCACAACGGTCGGTCATCATGTCCGACGACACGGTGACACCGTCCCGCTTCCAGCTCGCGGCAACGGGGGCGAGCGCTGCCTCCATTTTCTGCCGCACTTTCTTCAAGCCCGCCCCTCCAACGTAGCCCCTCTTGGGGGGAACATACCCCGGTCCCGCGCGCGCAAAGCACTGGACCGCGTAGCGGAAGACCGGATCATCCACGATGCGCTCTGGAAGCTTCAGCGCCGAGATCATTAGGCAAAGCGCGTTATCCGCGTCCTCCTTG